CCATTGGAGGATTATTTTCGGCTTTCTAGTGCCGTCACCATTATCAGTTGAGTGATCATTGTTATTCTCATTATAATCACCATGACTGGAGCCTTTGTTATCATCGACTGGTGGTACCACCACATCATTGACTGGTGGTACCACCACCAGATCATCGACTGCTATCACCTGTACACCCCCGCGTTTGACCGCACTGCCGCTCTGATTCCAAAATCGTGCAAACAACTGCATCGTCACCAAAAATACCACCAACGTCACCACACACAATCGCAACAAATTTTTTCTGCGCAGCAGCATTATTTCTTCTCGTTGTGATCATTCACCACTACTATAAATAACTTCCATAACTATATTCGTATTACTTTCACCACTTATTCACGCAACAATACATTGATCACACAGCAGCAGATAACCTGCTGCACAGAGAGATTGATCACATACTAGATTGATCATTGCAGAGGATTGATCACATATTAGATTGATCATTGCAGAGAGATCAATCACATATTACACTGATCACTGCAGATAGATTGATCACATATTAGGCCTCAACACTGCTCAGTGAGCACGCACATCAGAATCGAACCCTCCTCTCTCGAAAGTTTCTGAGGGTAAAGAGTATAGTTTAAGGCATCACAAGCTTCCCAGCTGCTTGTAATCGCCAACGCAACCCTATTGAATATCAATAAAAGCCTTATAAATATCACCTTGACAACGCATTGGAGAGATACATTTTTGGGACCGTTCGATAACGGATTAAACTTCACGTGTGTCCAAAAATATGATAATAGCAAAACATTTTTTACATGCATCTTCCAATAATAACAATTACAATAATAAAATCTCAATAATAGTAATAATAATAACAATAATAAATAATAATAACAATAATAATAAATAATAACAATAATAACAAATCCATTATGATAACAATCAACACACCAATACTTCAGACAACAATACAACACGATCTCAAAATCATACTGACGATAACAAATAGAATGACGATCAGATTTCTATGAGAATCTTTTCAAAATGATCAATAAAATGATCAGATCAATAATAATGAATAAATAATAATAATAATAACAATAACAATAAACACAACAACAATAATACAAATAAAATCAACACACACTAAACGAAAGCACCCGAAGTGGTGAATGAGAATGAGATATAGCCCAGATTAATCAAGCTATCGATAAACGGCCCATCACCCCCCACTGTCACCATCTTCGTTCCATTCTCCTCAATTGTATAGATCGATTCACATGACGTCTTCAATGACATCTTATAGGAACCATTATATGAGAACTGAAATTTTATCGCTCTGCATTTTATCATTATTTGATCACTCAAGGATCATTTGATCACTCTGCATTTTCAATCTATTGCGAGACGCAAGCAACTTCTTGCTGTCCGGGAAGATGAATGCCCGTCAGGGAGCAAAATGGACGAAAATGGGTACAAGTGCCCGCACGGGCAGGCATCCGTTCGCTATGGCTGCACCTGACCAAGAATACGGGGAGCAAAATTGCCCGGGAACGGAGTCCCCCACATCGACCACAGGGACCCCAACGAACACTAGTCACCAAACAAATATGGCTGCGAAACAAGTACGGTAGTGGGCGGAGCTTCGATTGACAGTCAA